ACCCCAGCCACTATGCTTTTCCCCACCAAGCTGAAATGGAATGGGGTCCCTACTCTTCCCCCCACCCGCCACGCTGAAACAGACTGGGTGGGGTCCCTGCGCCCTGCCCCCCACCGCCAAGCTGAACCGACTGGGGTCCCTGCCTGGCACCATGCCATCACACTCCCACATCTTAAGGCAGAGCATTAGGAAGACATACAGGACTTTTTGGAGCTCCTAAATGGTGTCATTTTCCGGCTTTATGATTAAAATCCAGCTTTGTCCCCTCTCTTGGACCTCAGTCCTCTGACTCATGGAGTAAAGGGATTGGACTACATCGTTGCTAAGTTCCCTTCCTCCTCTACAAAATAACTTGTAATCTTAAATAATGAGCAATTGGCTCACTTTACTGGTTCAATTTCATCCGCCTCAGTGGAATAAAATGTATTAATTGTATTAATGTTGGAGAAAGTGAAAACCATAGCAATGAAAATTAGGAGCTTATTAAGCATAGAAAATGATAATTTTTAAGTGCCTGAGCTCATCTCTACGGTGTGTAAGGAAAGCAGTTCCAGCTGAGGCTGATGAGTCAGGTCCCTCCTTCCGTTCTGTCTGCGATTCCCCTGAGAACTACGGTCACATCTCAGCCTCCTGCCAAACACTGCCTATGAAGAAGGCCAAGGGCTACAAGTCTGTGTGCAGGGACATCTCGTTTTCATACGTAGTTCCTACCTTCAGGGAAGGAACTTGCCAAAAATCTACCCAAGGGCTGCCTGGCTGGTGAAGCTAAAGGTGACCTCAGATGACATCATTTTAACTTTTGATGGTTTTACTGCAATAGGTGAAAAACACCATTATGACTGAGCAGGAGAAGGAGCCCCACACCCGGCCTGGGGTGGCAGGCCACAGGTGCCAAGGAGAAAAGCACACTTTCTCAGAACACATTATTTCCAGACCAGCACACCTAAGTAGTTCAAGCCTTTCCAAAAGACTTCAACCCAGGGGTCATTTATCAACCACCTGCACCTGTGTGCTGGCCGCCATCATCGTCAGCTAGGTGCAGCATGCTTCTTGGATGTCCTCAGGGAAAGCGGAGAGTTACTCTCTGTCTTCAGGTTTCTGTCCCCTGCACACACCTTGATAGGGTGTGGGAGTCTGTATCTGGCTCCAGTTATTAGCAAAGCACCTTCCTTGTCTCAGCACGACTTTCGTGGTCCCTGGAGTTGCTAGCCTCCATGATTGACACCTGGAGAATATGTGAAAGTGTGGATATATCAGAGCCCACGCTATGGTGGTCCTGTAACATCCATGAAAAGAACACCTCCCAAAGTCCCAGGCAAGTGGGATGTGGGGCAATCCCACCCTGATCCTCACACACGTTTCAACCAGATTGTGCACACAGGGACAAGTCCTGCAGGGATCTACAGAGCCAGCCCCTGGGGACTCACAGATGTGTGATGTGATGCCCTCATTCGGGCCCTGAGAAGTCGGATGGTTAGGAGCACAGATGTCAGAATATAGAGAAGACTGAAGGACTGGGCATGCTCAACAAGGGAAGAGCCAGGGCTGGCTATGCACTGGTTTTACATAAACAAGGAAAAAGAGCCAGATTCGGGAAGACAAGTATCACATGCTCCAACTCAAATGAGGAATCTAGGCTTAAATATGTACTATAGTGTAGCTGTGTGACTATAGCGGATGAGAGGGAACAGGAAGAGAGAGAAGGAAATGAGAGAGAAGATGGGTGTGACATAGAGTAAATCCACAGCATAGTCTATGAAAACGCCCTGGCTAAAACCATCATTCTGTAGAGCATACCAGACACAGTGGTTTTTACTTTCGTCGGTACACATCTTCAGCAGACTCTGCACCTCTGCCTTCATTTCAGTCTCTTTTGAAAAGAGATGCTCTTAGTTAGCAGGTAAGAGATGGGGTGGGTGTGGTGTAGATAGAGATGGGGTGGATGTAGTGTATAGATAGAGATGGGGTGTAGTGTAGATAGAGATGGGGTGGGTGTAGATGATAGAGATGGGGTGTAGTGTAGATGATAGAGATGGGGTGTAGTGTAGATAGAGATGGGGTGGGTGTAGATGATAGAGATGGGGTGTAGTGTAGATAGAGATGGGGTGGGTGTAGATAGAGATGGGGTGGGTGTAGATGATAGAGATGGGGTGTAGTGTAGATGATAGAGATGGGGTGTAGTGTAGATAGAGATGGGGTGGGGTGTAGATAGAGATGGGGTGTAGTGTAGATAGAGATGGGGTGTAGCGTAGATAGAGATGGGGTGGGTGTAGTGTAGATAAAATATTGTTTATGGTGTAGTATAGTTAAGTTGCCCGTCTGAGACTGTTCCTCACTTCCTGATTCATTCTTTGCCAAACAGATCATTGTTTTCTTAGGCATTTATCTTTCAAATCTTAAAATCAGCTTGGCTTGAAGCACATACCTTTAATTTCAGCACTCAGGAGCCTAACCAAATGTGAGTTCAAGGCCAGTTTATTTTATAGAATAAGTTCCAGGACAACCAGGACTACATAGTAAGACTCTCTCTCTCAAAAAACAAACAAACAAACAAACAAACAACCAAAACCCTCTAAATCTTCTGATATTGAACATTGAGGACATTATACTTGAAGAAATAAGGCAATCAAAAAAAAGAAGGCAAATACTGGGCCAGAGAGATGGTTTAGTCAGTTATCACACTTTGTCAAGCCTAAAACCCTGAGTTCAAAATTCAATCCATAAGACATACATAGTGAAAGATATAAGTGACTCCTGCACACACTCTTACATGTGTGTGTGTACTCACACTATAATAAATAAATAAAATGGTGAAGTCATTTTTAGAAGAGACATACTGCCTCGTGCCACCTGAGACGTGTAGTCAGGTTCACAGAGAGTGAAAGGGTGGCTGCCTGGTGCTGTGGGGTGTACACAGAATGAGAAGTCATTGTCTAATGGTTTCAGAGTTTCTGTTTTACTAGATTAAGGAAATCTGTAGTTGGGAACTGGTGTTGGTTACATTACAATGTATTTGACACCACTCACCTGTCCATTTAACAACTGATACAATAAATTTTGTTATGTCTTGCTACAAATATTTTCTTCCCACTGGTCTCTCTGGGCAGGGTTTTCTCCCCCAACCTCTTCCTGAAGCTGCTTATAAAATAACCACTCTGAGGCTTAATATTAATTGCATACTCTTTGGCCAATTAGCTCAGTCTTCTTATTAGCTAACTCTAACATCTTACATTAATCCATTTCTATTATTTTATATTTTACCATAAGGTTCATGTTTTGTTGGGCAGCTGCATGGGATCTGCCTGACTCTGCCTGCTTTTCTCCTCTGTCTCTGCTTAGGTTTCCTGCCTTGCTATAGTCTGCCCTGTCACAGGCCAAAGCAGTTTCCTTATAAACAGGGGTAATAAAACATATTCATAGCTTACAGGGGGAAATCCCACATCATCTCCCCTTTTTTGTCTAAATAAAAAGGAAGCTTTTAACTTCAACATAATAAAATTACATATAACAAAACAGGTATCAAGCAAGAATTACAATTACTATATTTATTTGTGAGTCTAAAGTTTCATATCTAATTTATCTTTTATCACAAGTAAAGAAAACAGTAGCTATAGCTATCTATAATTATAATTATCCATCAAAGACAGTCTACATTGCTACAATGAAAATTTAAGAAATAAAATATGACCATGTGACTTCCTAGCCTAACATGCTTCCATGTTTCTCTGTCTCAACAGAGATCAAACCTTGATGGCAGCTTCCATGACTGTTTAGACTATTACTAAACTGCCCTGCACAAATTTACCAACTTTCTGTCTCAGCACAGGGGCACTGTCGTCTTAAAAATAATCACACTGTGGAGATCGCAAAGGACTGAGTTCCATCCTTGGAACGCACATAAAGATGGGAAGAAACGATCCACAAAATTGTCCTCTGACCCCAACGTACGACCTTGTTGAAGCAGGCGCAGCCTTGTTGAAGTAGGCGTGGCCTTGTTGAAGTAGGCGTGGCCTTGTTGAAGGAAGTTCAGTCACCGTCTACAGGCTTTGAGGTCTCCTTTGCTTAAGCTTCCCCTAGTGTCACAGTCCACTTCCTGTTGACTTCTGATCAAGACGTAGCCAACACCATGTCTGCCGCACACCGCCATGCTCCCCACCATGATGATAATGGACTGAATCTCTGAAACTGCAATCGGGTCACCCTGATTAAACATTTTCCTAGTCTTGCTGTCATGCTCATGGTGTCTCTTCACAGCAAAAGAAACCTGACGAAGACAGCCTCTGCGCAATTTAAATCTTCGTGTTTTGAAGCAAAAGTCAAGAGAGCAAAAATGCATGACTCCAGAAATGGAAGCACATGGGTTCTGATAACCAACAGGCTCGCCTGAAGAACTGAGGATGGCTGACCTTGAGCCTCTTCCTTGAGGGGTAGGGTCTGATGTGGCAATGGTCCAGTTGCATCCAAACTCCCTGATGTGGCGATGATACAATTGCATGCGAACTCCCTGTTGCTTTATATTTCTTGCCTTCTTGTTTATATTTTAATGATTTATTTCAGTGCATGTGTGTGTATCGTGTGTGTGTGTGTGTGTGTGTGTGTACGTGAGCAAGCACAGGTGCCCTCGGAGGTCAGAAGAGGACTTCAGATTTCATGTTGTGAGCTGTCCGACATGAGTACTGGGAATTGAACCTAGGACCTCTGGAAGAGCAATAAGCTCTCAACTTCTGAGACATATTTCCAGTCCCTTCATGAATTTTAAAAGCATGTCGAGGTATGATTTATTTTTCCTCTAATAGGTGACTATGGATATTGGTGTAACTTGCATCTAAACTTATTATCAGAACTCCCATGATTGGTTACGTAGAACACCACGTAGAAGCTTCTGGTCTTCTAGGCGCCTGTAGGCTGCTATTGCTTAAAAACTACAACTCCCAGGATTCCATGAGCCGAAGGGGTGTCCCGGCCGAGGCCTGGGAGGCGGATCCCGCGGCCCGCGCACGCGCTCCCGCTCCCGTGTGTGCTCTCCTGCAGGGCAGGCGCACGGTGGACACCTGCGACACCCGGGCGTCAGGTGGGCAGCGGGGTCTGCGGCGCAGCTGGGCCCGGGGGTCCAAGCCCGGCTTCAGGTGAGGCGCTGGCCGGGCTGGGCTTGGTGTCGGGCCCTGGGCTTGCAGGGGAGGCCGGCGGGCTTGCACAGGACCGAGGGCGGTGGACGCTGCCTGGAGCAGGAGCGGAGGTTGGAGGGGTGGTGGGCCTGTGCAGCCCAGCCCGGTGGCGCTCCAGACCTCGCTGGAGCCTTCACTGCCGCTGACAGCGGGGACGCACATATTGTTCTGGTGCCTGGGGAAGAATGGTGCGCATTTGGCACAGGTGGAGCAAGGGGAGGTGAGAGAGGGGGCCTGGGCTGCGCCAGCTGCGTTGAAACCGGTGCGTGGGGCGGCCTGTCGCTGACCCTTCGGCGGTTGGGGCTCCGTATGGAACCAGCCGGGCGATCGGTGATAGGAGCTTGTCTGGCCTGCTTGACAATGCCGAGAGAGCCACTAAGGAGGACCCTGATGGGCTTGCCTGAAGGAACCGCGTCCTCTCGTCATTGGTGGGAGTCCTGGGTCAAAGTTTGAGACCCCTACCAGAATCATGCCGCAAGTGATGAGCAGCCAATATCCTCTGACCTTATGTCAGCCAGCCCCCAGAGCCTGTTGGGAAAGACGACTTTAGGATTATGGGCCAGAGTAATAATACCAGCACAGTTCATTTTTCCTATCTGGATTGTTCGGGGGCTGGACGTTGAAATCTTGGCTCCTTTACCGGCCTTGCCCCATTAAGTAACTCACTAGTCTTTTCTGGTCTCCTCCTTTGTCTTCTGTAAAACAGAATGGCAAACAAACAAACAAACAAACAGAAAAACAAAACCAACCTTTGCAGAACTGCTGTGAGGGTTCCAGGCGTCTATCTGGGTCCTTACTGTTAGCAGCAGTCACGACCAACTGTAGAGAAGGAAAGGTTGGAGTCCCAGCCCCAGGTCCTGTCTTTTCCACAAACCAGCCACCCCTAGGCTGCCAGGATCGGGGAGCCCAACCAGCCTTCTCTTTCACGTGAGGGCTCTGAGTTCCGGGTGATGACAGAGCCAGGAAAAAAATTAGGTCTCTTATGCTCAGAAATGGCTGGCAGGTCACTTCTGAGCTCGGAGCCGCCGCCGGGGCCTACAGAAGGGAGCAGAGAGGAAGTGCTGGTGAGCAGACTCACGAGGCTGCGGACATCCTGGTGCACTGGACTGGGGGCATCTTCAGGGGGTTTGTTTGTTTGTTTTTCAATACTGAAGATTGAATCCTCATGCGTGCAGGGCAAATGATCTACGGTTGAGGTATGCCCTCCAGCTCTACTCTTTGCTTTGTTTCTCAGTCTTGTTAAGTTTCCCAGACTCACCAAGGCTATGATCCTCCTGCGTTGTCCTCCCTGGTAGCTGGGGCGGTAGGTTGGCAGGTTCTTGCTTTCTGAAATGGCAGTGATAAGCAAAGACTTTTAGGATCTATTGAGAGAGCCAGAAGATTAAATTACCCAGTACTGCACTCCCAAGGGACCTTATCAGTCACCTTAACGTGGTTACTGGAGGGACACTCTCCCTCGGGAACTGCTAAAGTGATCCCCAGGGTTTTTCAAGTTGGATGAGATAATGGAGGGGAAGGGAGACTCCAGAGATGCAGCCATGGCTTTGCAGTTCAGGCTTGAGTTTGAACGTCAGCCCCAGCCCATAATAACTCTGCGGTATTGAACGATCCATATAGCAGTCCCCAGTATATGCCCTTCAGCGGGACTGGGGTTCATTCACCTACTTTAGGTTTGTCGCGGGGATGAGACCACAGAAGCAGAGCTCTTGGAATCAGTAAGCAGGTTTTGATCTCGCTGTGGTAGAGTTGGCTGTGGGAATAATTGTAGGCACAGTGCCTTCCACTGGCTCTTAGAGTCCACAAACCTGCCCCACCCCCTGTGAAACAGTAGTGACTAGTAAGTGGAAGTTTGAAATGGCTGGAACTCACCTGGCATCTCTCATTGAGCCGCTATTCCTTTCTCCTCTGCTGTCTGTGGGTTCTGCTGCCCTGGAACCTAGTTAGGACCCACAGTGGGCATTTCTGGTATTTCAGTGGACTCTTGGCAACATTTTTGGGCTAGAACCTTGGCTCCACATGTCTTGCTGTCCCATCGGTTGTGATGCTGAAGGAGGTGGTCCCCTGTGTGAGATTAGGTGAGGCGTTAGGAAAAGGCAGCCTGCGGGAAGGCCTCCTTGGCTCTCACCCCTGGACTGCATGGGTTGGTGAGGGAGTCCTGTGGTGAGCCCCCATGCAACCTGACTGCCTGACCTCACTTGTGAAATAAGGACTTGGGAGAATTCATCTCCAAAGGCTCTTTAGTCCTAAAAGGTAGTGGTTTTGTAATTGTGTTTTGATGTCTGAACCTTCTCAGCCCAGCGCCAGGGCGGTGGGGATAACTATCACCCCAGCTTGCTACCCATTCTCTCTTTAGGATGAGAGAATGGCCATCGCTTCCTAAACCGCCAGCCACGGCCAGGTGTTCTCTCTGCACGGCAGCGGGGAGAGAGTAATTACTGCTAGAAGCCCTGGGTTGCTAAGTTACCACGGAAGGCCTGTGGGTCTGTGCTTCCCAGGCCTTCCTCAGCTGCTCTGCTCCTGAGTCATGAATCTCACTGCTCTGGGTTCTACCTTGCTCACCTAACGCTGGAGAGTAAGTCAGACATGATGACGCGCGGCTGTGGGACTTAAAAATGACCCTTGAAGTCAGGTGAGTTCGCAACCTGGTGACCTTGCTTGGGCTGTAAGACCTCAAGCATGTAACCTACCGTTAAAGTGAGATTTTCTCATATCGAGAGGAAATGAAGGGCTGGGGTTGTCGCTCAGTGGTTTGCCTAGTACATAGGAAGCCCTGAGTTTGAGCCCCTGCCCGCAGCACCACCAAAGGAGTTGGGGAGAGGAAAGCAAAGAAATGAACCCCAAGCAAAGAAATAAACCCCCAAGCTTACATTGGAAGGCTCTGTGAGGCATCCAGGAAAGGACCGAGGCTCAGGACAGCACCTGGCCCTTTGCACCATGCCAGGCATGGATGAGTCTTTCACTTTCTATGGTTTCTCACATTCTCTCTGGTACCCACCCTTGGGCCCAGTGTGTCTGTCAGAAAATCAGACCCTCAATGGTGCAGGCCCCTTCTTGCCATGCAGTGTGCACGTGGACCTGAGCCTGATCTCTTCAGGATGGAGATCAGGACCCTTTGCCTGCCCACCCCCGCCATTGCTGCTATTGCAATGCAAGCTTTCTGTGGTTGCCAGCTTGCCAGTGACGAACCATACCCAGGGCCCTACCGTAGAGGTTTGAGCAAGGATCGTGGCACGTCCTAAGGTGGCTTCAGAAGGGGCCACAGTTAGATTAGGGTTCCAGAGCTTTGAGGCCGGTGAGGGCAGCAGCTATTATAAGGACCTAGAGATGCTGTCCAGGCTCATCCTTTCCACGCTTTAGAATACCCTTCTCTTCCCCAGCCTCATTTTGATCCGCTTCACCCCACAAGCAGTGGTGTCTGCCCAGGAAAGATTAGGTTGGGGCAACATTTGTAGAAAGTTTCCAGTGTGAAAGCTGTCTCGGTCTTTGCTATCCTGGAACTTCAGCTTGAATGTCATGTTAGCAGAGTTAGCCTTTAGTACCAGGGCGGTAACTCCTCAACTGGATCCCTCATTTCCTTGCGGCTGGATGGAAATTCCTTCAGAGGATTGCAGAACCGTGTGATGTCAGAACTTTGCATCAACACTCAGCACGTGGTGGAATCGTCCAGAAGTTGCATCAAAACTTGGGTTCCTAGGCCCAACTGGAAGAATTCTGGGTCATGCGTCTGTGGGCCACATGAGTAGAAGAACTGCATCCTCCCCCTCAGGCAAACTCTAGAGCCCTGCAGGGCTCCTGGATCTTCCTTTTCCCAGGGATGGGGTTTGTTCCTGAAAGTGTCCTACCTAGGGTAGAGTTTCTAGTAAGCAACCTTCTGGCTGCCTCAGGGTAAAGACTCACAGAGATTCACAGAGTGAACTTGGGGGTCAAGTGTGCAGGCTGATTCCTGGCAGAAGTGCATCTCCTGAGCTTGGTAAGAAAGAGAAACCCGGATTGAGACACATGTTAGAAATACCCATCTGGCTTAAAAACTGTCAAGGCTGGGGCTGGATAGAAGGCTGGAGGCCGACAGCATTTGTTTCCCCTGCAGATGGCCAGAGTTTGATTCCCAGCACCCACATGGCAGTTCACAGCCATCCATAACTGTAGTTCCAGAGTCTCCAACACCCCCTCCTCTATGGGTGCCATACACACAAGCAGGCAGAACACTCCTAACTTAAAAACAAACTCACAGGAAAGACTGAGAAGCTGTCCCAGGTAGAGGTGAAGGATCTGATGCTTCATCCTGGCCTGGATTTTGGACAGAGCATAGGACCATGGAGAAAACAGTATCATCGATATTCATTTTCTTAATTGCATTATATAAGAGAACATTGTTCTCTTACAGTAGTAATGTTCTCTCTTGTAGTTATGGCTGTCAGGAAAGACATCACATGAATGATTTTGTTTGCTGTTGTTTTTGAGACAAGGCCTTGGTGAGTGTCCAGGCTGGTCTTAAATCCTCCCATCTCCGCTCGCAGGTGCCAGGGTCGCAGACATATGCCATCCTCCCTGGCATTTAGCTTATTTTTAAATAGTTCGGAAAAGAGTTTGTGACAGAGCATGATAAATGTGTCAACTTAGGGAAGAATCTAGATGAGGGAGGGAGGGCTCCCATACTCTGCAGCTTTTGTAAGTTAAAGTTGTTTCCCTGTGAGACGGAGTGGTTGCAGACAGCAGACACTAGGGCCGCCCCACGGGCCAAGGTCCCACCCTGAAGTCCGTGTGTGCTTGAGCAGCCTTCTGCCTCCCTTCTCTTTCACTGTCTATGATATAATATAATATAAATGGAGGTTGTCACTGCCCCCAGTGACGAGCCAGTGGCTGTTAGCTACAGTAGTGTTGTCATCATTAGGACAGAGGAGGCAGGGAGTAACACCATAGAGATGACCAAGGGAAGCCCAAGCTGAGGCTGTCATCACCCA